GATGAAGAATTTGTGCTACTATTGTTGAGGATCTTGAACACCAATCAAACTCACAACACAGGATCTAAAGAGAAGACTTAAAGATCAGTGGGAGGATTCTAAGGATGGATCATGGATCTCAATTTGTTTCCTTTTAAGCTAGTTGCCAAGATGCTTGTGGTGGATTTCTAGAGTGAAGATTCAAGGAAAAAAGCTTATAGCCAGAGAATTGGTTGAGATATAAGTATTTAAATTTGTAATCTAAATTTGAAACTAGTGGATTAGGTTTTTCGAGGGGGCTTGTAAAAATTTATTAAGTTGTGTTATTGTTTTTGTTTACTTCTTTTATGCAACATTGGACGAATGGTTGAATCTCACGTGTTGATTGAGCCAGTCAAATTGATTAAAATTTAATTGATTGGTAATTTTGAATCATGTTGAACTAAACTTCATAAAATTGACAAACACAATCAATCTTTAGATCAAAGGCCTGTATCACATAGGGGTTTATTTGTAATTATGTGAGTTATGTTTCTATTTGGGCATAATTTTACATTGCAGTAACCTATTTATTACCCTCTCTAGGTCACATTGTGTTGCTTGAACACTTCAAGGTCGAATATGCTTTACGCACTCCCAAAAATTATAAGAATTACTCAATGGACGGTAAAATGCCAATAAGATTTGTAGGCACACAATACAAGAATAGTTTGTTGTTGACGGTCTAATCAAAAACCTCCCTGAGTCATGAAGAAATTACAAACAATCTCTAAAGCACACGTCACTAGAAGATGTCATTGTCCACATCATCATAGAAGGAAAAAGAGTCAATTCAAGGTAGCCAATAAGTCATAGCCATTGAAGTACCTTCCCAAGCTTATTTAGTTAGGACGGCTACGGTACATCTAAGGGGATTTTCGGTATGGTACCGAAAATCTTTGGCGGCAAAAAGCTAAAAAAAATATTGCACAATGATGCAGAAATGGACACGTGTAAAGGAAAAGTAAGGCAACTAGAATGACCTGTTGCCACTTATATTGTACAACAATGATGGATGAAGGATGTACCACATCAATGAGTGAGTTACAAAGGTTATGGAATATTTACAATATTACTTGCAAGATTTACAACAATAATGGGTACAATAACAAATATAATGGTATTCTTGAAAAGTTAGTGGAACCAAGTACAAGGATAATGGTGTATTTATAACATCAGCAAGAAATGTAAAAAAGTAATGGGATAGGTACAAAATTAAAGGTATATTTACAACAAACATGGAAAAATTTATGACTCATAGTCAATGTAATGGATGATCAAGTCGTGTAGTATATGATCGATCATAAAATATTGACTGATCGAACAAATGTATGATCGATTATTATGTGTAAAGGTGTGGTGTAAGAAAATGGAATTTTGGAAAAAAATAAATAAAATATAATTTGACCGATCACGAATATGATGATCGATCATAGTGTCCCAATAAGGTGTTTTTGCAAAATCATTGCGATGTTAACGATATTACTAGATAAAAATACACAATTAATGGTATAATTACAACAAGAGTGATAAATTTTGAAATTCAGTGAAACCAACTACAAATTTAATGGAGTATTTACTACATCAGTAAAAAATATACAATAGTTATTGCGATAGGTATAAATGTAAAAATATATTTACAAGCATTGTGGATAAATTTACGAGGATATTATAGTTGTAGTCAACGTAATGGATCAATCAATGTAATATATGACCGATCATTATATATTGATCGATCGAATAAACATATGATCGATCAATATGTGGTAAGAAGTTGTGTAAGAAAAAGGAATTTTTGGAAAAAAAAATAAAAAAGTATATAATTTGACCGATCATGAATATGAATGATCGATCTTATTTGGCTCAATAAGGTGTTATTGCAAAATCGTTGTGAGGTTAACGATATTAATGGGAAAATTACAAAATTAATGGTCTAATTAAAACAAGAGTGAGAAATTTTGAAAATCAGTGGAACAAACTACAAAGGCAATGGATTATTTACTTTATTAGTAAGAAAGTACTACAGTAATTGGGATAGGTACAAAATTAAAGATATATTTACAACCATAGTGGATAAATTTACGAGGATAATATACTTGTTGTCAACGTAATGGATTGATCAATGTAATATATAGTTGATTATTACATATTGATCGATCGAATAAATATATGATTAATCAACATGTGGTAAGGTTAGTGAAAAAAGGAAAAAGAAAAGTATTGAATTCGATTGATCAAACGAATATAATGATCGATCATATTGGGATAGGTTTGTAGTTTGAATCAGAGTAATAAAAGTATTATGTGGGTCTGATCGGTTGTGAAAAAATATGATAGATCAGTAAGTAATAAATGTATTTGATCGATCAAAAAATAAATATTGATCGATGATATTGCTGCAGAATTGAGAAGTGAATCAGAAATAATAAAAGTACTAGAGAGAGAGGATCGATCGTTAAAAAATTTGATCGATTAAATTAGTAAGTAAATTCGATTGATCAAACATATATATTGATCGATCATCTTATTGCAGATTTGTATTGTGAATCAGAAGTAAAAGTACTAGGGAGATTTGATCAATCGAAACCATATTTGATCGATCAAATTATTGCAGATTTTTAATGTGAATCAGAAGTAAAAGTACTTGGGAGATTTGATCAATCGAAATCATATTTGATCGATCAAATTATTGTAGATTTATGTGAATCAGAAATAAAAGTACTAGGGAGATTTGATCGATCGAAACCATATTTGATCAATCAAATTATTGTAGATTTTTAATGTGAATCAGAAATAAAAGTATTGGGGAGATTTGATCGATCGAAACCATATTTGATCGATCAAATTATTGCAGATTTATGTGAATCAGAAATAAAAGTACTGGGGAGATTTGATCGATCGAAACCATATTTGATCAATCAAATTATTGTAGATTTTTAATGTGAATCAGAAATAAAAGTATTGGGGAGATTTGATCGATCGAAACCATATTTGATCGATCAAATTGTTACAGATTTTAAATGTGAATCAGAAGTAAAATAAATACTGGAGAGATTTGATTGATCATGTAAACAATTTGATAGAACAGTAAGTAGTAATTTAATTCGATGGATCAAAATTTTATAGTGATCGATCATATTGTTGCAAATCATAAATACTGGGGACATCTGATCGATCAACTATGTATAATGATCAATCATGGAGTTACAGATGTACAAATTGAAGGAGCAAATGGGATTGCCATCGATCAAAAATAAATATGATATATCAGATATGATGTATTTACTTAAATGCCCACAAATAGTAATAAATTGTAGTGTTGTAAGGGGGCTTTATAGTAAATAAACATCAAATGATACCCAAATAAATCCCCAAATCCTACAAAATTACCCCTAAATCGCTCGCACCTACAAAACTCATTCAAAATCCATTCCAAATCCGACAAAACCCATTCCAAATCCAAAAAAAACCCATTCAAAATTCATTCAAACTCCATTCCAAATCCTACAAAACCCATTCAAAATCTCCCAATTCCATAAACCCTAAATCTCCCACCACCCCAAATCTCTTTCATCGATCGATTGGGTACACAAATGCAATCGCCTACACAAAGTACTTCCATTGTGAATCTTCATTCGGAGAAGAGTGAAATTTTCATTGTAAATGTTCGTTGTGAATCTTTGTTGAAGAAGAGTGAAATTTCCATTTGGAGATTTAGTGATGTCAGGCAGAGAGATGAAGAAACGGAAGAAGGTGGTTAACGCGGGGAGTTCTGGCATTACAAAACTCTTTGTGGATAAAGATGCTAAGAAAACGTATGATACATTTATTGTTAAATGTCCTCTGTTAATTGAGCATGGTGTTTACCTTGATGAGTTAGTAGGCAGTGTGGATAGCCCTGAAATACTTTGACGTCGAAAATGGGATCCTTTGTTTGATGTGACTGTGGTAGATAAAGCATATGTTGATCTGGTTAAGTTTTTTTATGGAAATGTTCATAACTACAAGGAGAATAAGCTGACATTTAATTCATTGGTTAGAAAGACTCGAATAACTGTTTCGCTTGATCTTATTCCAAATATATTATAAATTGATAGACCAGAAATTCCTAAGAATTCCATTGTCTTTCCATATTCAAGTAAGGAGCAGGTTCCCGAAATGGCGAGAGTTATTCGAGGTATTTGTATTAGGAGTGTCCCTTGGGAGAATGATAAAAGCAAAATTGCTTCATGTCTTTAAACATTTTAGAGGTAAGTACAACTACATGTGCTTTGTCATTGCCATCAGTTATTTGGTACAAACTATTCAACGATTTCATTAGCATAATGCACTAAATACTTCTTACAGTGTTAACGTGTACACATCTGGCCACTAAAATATTCTGGGATAATCACTCTTTTGCTTTATGACAGCTAACCACACAATGCAGCTTTCTTAAGTTGCATGGAAGGTTCAACTTCACTACGCTGTCTTTCCTGTATACATGACAATGGCAAAATGAAGGAAGTCTGTCTAAACATGTAATTATGTTGTTACAATTAATTCCACCTAATGTGCAGATGTACTATTTATCTGTATCCTTTGCATTACTTCATTGTTAAATCAAATAAACATGAAAGAATGCACAAACCTCACATTCACCACAACAAAACTCAAAAACCATCAAACATCAATTTATTTCTAACTACTACCCAATATATTTAACAACCATCCACCCAATATCTGCAACACCCTTACAAAAATGACAAATATTACTACACAACAAAAGATTCACCCAAAAAATACAAAACCAATGTGTCATTTGTTGATGTATTCTTTAAAGTCCTTATAAAAACAATCTAATTTTGACTCCAGACGCTGCAACGACCCCTTCGTTTCATCCTCGAACATTTCAAATCGGGCCTCCAACTTTTAACCATTTGTTGAAGTGTTTGTCCACCCTCACTAGTACCAACATCAGAACCAGCTTAACTACCCACAACCTGAAGCACCGCTGATGGCTGCTCCACATGCTTGACCCGTTTCACATCCAAGATAGCGCCTACACTTTTATTAAGTGTACCCATACCCATTGCATTCATGGAGCACATAAAACTATCATTATGCTGAAATTCAACCCCACTATGCTTCAAAATCTTGAAAATTAATATTGAAAATGGAAGACATGACATGCAATCTTCGACAGTAAATGCTTCGCGAACATGGTTGAATATGTAAAGGGGTAGATCAATAATAACCCCACGTTCACCAATAGCATATAATAGTTGGGCCGTTTCGTATCCAATCTCAGCAGTATGCCCCCTCTAATGTATATTACTGGCAAGAATTTGATTTAACATCCTATAAGTTTGAGTAAGGTCAATGTGACCAATTTTGCTTTTATCATTCTCCCAAGGGACACTCCCAATACAAATACCTCGAATAACCCTCACCATTTCGAGAACCTGCTCCTTACTTGAATATGGAAAGACAATGGAATTCTCAAGAATTTTTGGTCTATCAATTTTTAATATATTTGAAATAAAATTAGGCGAAACAGTTATTTGAGTCTTCCTAACCATTGAATTAAATGTCAGTTCATTCTCCTTGTAGTCATGAACATTTGCATAAAAAAACTTAACCAGATCAACATATGCTTTATCTTCCACAGTCACATCAAACAGAGGATCCCATTTCCGACGTCAAAGTATTTCAGGGCTATCCACACTGCCTACTAACTCATCAAGGTAAACATCACACTCAATTAACAGAGGACGTTTAACAATGAATGTATCATACCTCTTCTTAGCATCTTTATCCACAAAGAGTTTTGCATTGCCAGAACTCCCCCCGCTAACCACCTTCTTTCGTTTCTTCATCTCTCCGCCCGACATCACCAAAGCTCCAAATGGAAATTTCACTCCTCTTCAACAAAGATTCACAACGAACATTCACGATGGAAATTTCACTCTTCTCCGAATGAAGATTCACAATGGAAGTACTTAGTGTAGGCGATTGCATTAGTGTAGATTTTGAATGGGTTTTGTAGGATTTGGAATGGATTTTAAATGGGTTTTGTTGGATTTGGAATGAATTTTGAATGGATTTTGTAGGCACGAGCAATTTAGGGGTAATTTTGTAGGATTTGGGGATTTATTTGGATATCATCCGATGTTTACTTACTACAAAGCCCCTCTTACAACACTTCAATTTATTACTCTTTGTGGGCATTTAAGTAAATACATCATATCTGATCTATCATATTTATTTTCGATCGATCGCAATCTCACTTGCTCCTTCAACTTCTACATCTGTAACTCCATGATCGATCATTACACATAATTGATCGATCAGATGTCCCCAGTATTTATGATCTGCAATAATATGATTGATCACTATAAAATTTTGATCAATCAAATTAACTTACTACTTACTGATCTATCAAATTGTTTACACGATCGATCAAATCTCCCCAGTATTTTTTTTACTTCCGATTCACATTAAAAATTTACAACAATTTGATTGATCAAATATGGTTTCGATCGATCAAATATGATTTCGATCGATCAAATCTCCCCAGTACTTTTACTTATGATTCACAATACAAATCTGTAATAAGATGATCGATCAATATAAATGTTTGATCAATCGAATTTACTTACTTATTCGATCGATCAAATTTTTTAACGATTAATCCTCTCTTTCCAGTACTTTTATTACTTCTGATTCACTTCTCAATTCTACAACAATATATCGATCAATAGGTATTTTTTGATTGATCAAATACACTTATTACTTACTGATCTATCATATTTTTTCACAATCGATCAGACCTACACAATACATTTATTACTTCTGATTCAAACTACAGACCTGTCTCAATATGATCGATCATCATATTTGCTTGATCAATCAAATTCAATAATTTTATTTTTCCTTTTTTCACTAACCTTACCACATACTGATCGATCATATATTACACTGATCGATCCATTACGTTGACTACAAGTATATTATCCTCATAAATTTATCCTCCATGGTTGTAAATATATCTTTAATTTTGCACCTATCCCTATTACTTTTGTACATTTCTTACTGATATAGTAAATAATTCATTGCCTTTGTAGTTTGTTCTACTGATTTTCAAAATTTCTCACTCTTGTTTTAATTATACCATTCATTTTGTAATTTTTCCATTAATATCGTTAACCTCGCAATGATTTTGTAAAAACACCTTATTGAGCCAAATATATATATATATATATATATATATTTTCCCAAAAATTCCTTTTTCTTACACAACTCCTTACCACATATTGATCGATCATATGTTTATTCGATTGATCAATATATAATGATCGGTCATAGATTACATTGATCAATTCATTACGTTGACTACAACTATAATATCCTCGTAAATTTATCCATAATACTTGTAAATATATATTTACATTTGTACCTATCTCAATAACTATTGCATATTTCTTACTGATGTAGTAAATACTCCATTAAATTTGTAGTTGGTTTCACTGAATTTCAAAATTTACCACTCTTGTTGTAATTATACCATTAATTTTTTACTTTACCTAGTAATATTGTTAACATCGCAATGATTTTGCAAAAACACCTTATTGAGGCACTATGATCGATCATCATATTCGTGATTTGTCAAATTATATACTTATTTGTTTTTCCAAAATTTCATTTTCTTACACAACACTTTTTCACATAATGATCGATCATACATTTATTTGATCGATCAATATTTATGATTGATCATATACTACATTATTCAATCATCCATTACATTGACTATGAGTTGTAAATTTTTTCACTTTTTTTGTAAATATACCTTTAATTTTGCACCTATCTCATTATTTTTTTACATTTCTTACTGATGTCGTAAATACACCATTACCCTTATACTTTGTTCCACTAACTTTATAAAAATTCCATTATCTTTGTTATTGTACCTATTATTGTTGTAAATCTTGCAAGTAATATTGTAAATATTTCATAACCTTTGTAACTCACTCATTGATGTGATACATCCTTCATCCATCATTGTTGTATAGTATAAGTGGCAATAGGTCATTCCGATTGTCTTACTTTTCTTTTACACGTGTCCATTTTTGCATCATTATACAATTTTTTTTCAGCTTTTAGCCGCCAAAGATTTTTGGTACCATACCGCCCCTTAGATGTACCGTAGCCATGTCCCTATCTTTATATTCATTTTTTCTTCACATTTCACTCACAATTGTCATCCTGTTTGGCCCCAAAGGCTATGACATCATATGGGTGATGTATGCTACGAACACCTTGTCCATTATGCTTTTTTTTTCTTTTGTTTTTTTCCCTTCCTTATATATATTAGAATACACTTGTCACCTTGTGTATTTATATGTACCGTACACATTTTTACACACATTACACTGTTTAGAAACTTTAGCTATTTATTAAACCTAACAATATTATAGTCATTTAACTCATTTTTACGCAAAGAACCCATATTTTTGGTCCATTTCTTTATTTGATATTAAAAAACTTCGATCATATAGAGTCATAGTTATTGTTCTAATTAACATTATTAGGAATTAATTTTTGTTTGGATTATCATAATCTACTTGCCTTAAAAAGAATTTCGTCCCTGAAATTCATAATCTTTAAATTAATTGATTTTGTTTTACACTTTGATACCATTTTTAATTATTTTGTTCATAACCCATCATTCTGATATAAATTTCAACTTATACACCCATCCAATGGAATCTAGTTAACTCACTCCCCACAATACCCATATAAGATCTAAAACTTATACTCTAATATTTCAGACTTGTATACCTACAACGAAAACTAATAGATTCACTTTTCATAGAACCTCATATAAGACCTGATACCATTTTGTAGAGCATCAATTGGCTAAGGGTGGGGGTGGAGATATTCTCACCCCACAAATCTCCATTTCCACCCCATTAAACTATAAATCATAAAACTACCAAGTTCGCCTCATCTATACCCATTCCACTAGTAATTAAGGTGGTATTTGATAAAATTAAAAGTTGAACACTAAAAACTGAATGCTAAATTTTAAGTATTGAATGCTAAATTTTTTAATTTGCAGACTGTTTGGTATCAATTGAAATTTAAATATTAAATTTCTTCAAACTGTTTGACAAATATAAAGAGATAAAGTCTAAAAATTATTATTATCCTAATTTTTTTTCTTCTCTTTAACCATCTCTCTGTAACTACTTTATTCATATCACCATCATCACAAAGGAGGTGGTAGTGGTGGCGGCGACAGTGGTGGTGGTGTCAGCAACACAATGGTGGTAGTGGTGATGGTGACATAATGATGGTGGTGGCAACAATGATGGAGGTGGTAAAAGTAGTGGCACAATGGTAATGGTGATGACAACGGTGGTGGTGGCAATGGTTGTGGTGGTGGTGGTGGTAATGACAGTGGTAATAGTGGTGGTGGTGGCGACAGTGGTAATAGTGGTGGTGGCGGTGGCACAATGGTGGTGGTAGTGATGACATAATGGTAGTGGTGGTGACAGCGACACAATGATGGTAACGGTGGTGGTGATGGTGGTAAAAGTGGTGGCGATAATAGTGGTTATAGTGACAGTGACACAATGGTAGTGGTGGCGGCAGCGATGGTGATGATGATGGTAGTGATGGAGGCACAATGGTGGTGATGGTAGTGGGTGGCGACAACAGTGGTATAATAGTGTTGGTAGTGGTGGCGATGACACAATGCTAGTAAGGGTATATTTGTCCATTATGAGAAATTGATAAAATCCTTACTAACTAACATTTTCTGCATTAAGTGATAAGTATGTGGCTTGCTACTTAAACTTTTTAACCTATTTTTAAGAAATGCTTAAAATATTAAGTAGCATGAGTTTTAGGTTGTCAAACGATTTTAATTTATTAAGTGATTAAAGTATTCAGTTTTAAACCTTAAGTAGTGTTATCAAACAGCCCCTAAGTCCATCTCATTCTGTACCCATACCCCATTAACAACTATACTTATCTCAATCTTTACTTTTAGGATTTCTTTCTACACCTTATCTCACATAGTCTATACAAAATAAACTCAACTGGATTATTTACTAAAACTAAACAAACAGTTATGTATAGATAGTGTTTGAGGAGAAAGACTTAATGATCTTTTTCTTTTTCGTTTCAAGAAACTTAGCTTCAGATGCGACATATAACAAAAATTTCAAGAGATTTCTTTCTATATATTGAGAAATTGCGTGTAAAGATGATCTTTTTTTCTGCGAATACCTTCAACTGATGATTAAGAAAACAAGACAGACAAGCGTAGAGAGGAATCAGAGTACAATTTCTGATGATGCACCGCGCAAGATCAACAGTCAAGTGTGTGATAAGGTGTAATTAATGGCAATAAATAAAGCAATCAATAGCAGTAATATAAACATTGAGTCAACACATAGATATATAGTGGTTCAATCTGAGTGACCTACTCCATTCTAAGAAATGGCAACGATGGTTGGAGGGTCTTTATTGATGAAGTAGGATGAACATCGGAGAGAACAATAGTTAGCTCTGAGAGAGATACAATAGCTAGGAGAGAGAGAAGTTATGTGTGTGTAGAGAGGTATAGAGAGGTGTGGTGAGATGCCTCTCTCAATGGAGAGGGCTTACAATTTATAGGCACGGTGAGGCGGTGACCTGAGTGTGAGGGTACTAATTTTTTGGGGAGGATAGTTACAAAAGGTAAATACAATTAAAGATTATCTTGATCTTCGAATGAGTATCCTGATAGTTGTTCCCCACATGCTCTAATGTTCTTGAACTCCTTGGACCTTGGGTTGGGTCAAATTTACAAATTGGGCTTGATCGGTCTTTTAGTTGATTTGGGCTTACTTGATTTATTGGGCCCTAACCAATTAGATTTAGGCTCATCATTTGCCCCCCATGCCCCAAGCCCCTACTGTAGCAAAAAAGGTGGTTGAAGGCATGAGTGATTCTCAGGATAGATAAGGGTTCCTTGCTCCCCATGATAGTCTTTAACTTTCCATTGCTGCCTACGAAAAATCTCTCCTTTCTTCTTTGTATCACCATTGCTAGGTACCCAATATAATTACCAATATCCTTTTTCCCTCTTCTTGACAGAGAATCATCCTTCTAAGTCTTCTAAAGGTAAATATAGCTAAATCCAGCAACTATTCTCTTTTATTACCTCCTGATTGGGCATAAATACTCTCCATTTCCCTTACCCTTATTGGTTACAAGGTAAGGTAAACTATGGACACCAGAGGCAAATAGGATCGAGTAGGGTAGCTGGAGATGCTTTAGCGAGATCACAAATGCTAGGACCTGCCTTATCCGATGCTTGGGCGAGACCATTGGCAACACCATGGCGAAGCCAGAAAGCTTTAGGCAACACCACAACTGACCTAGTTGGCATTAGGCGATGCCAGCGCCTAGGAGAAAGAGAGAAGCAATGGGCGGGAGTCCTATGGTGCCTTGGCGGTTGGCGGCACCTTCTATGCAAAGCTCTACGTAAAAAGTGAAGAAGGCAAGGGCGACACCTTCTTTGTAAATAGAGGGGATCTAGGCGATGTTGGTGCGACCCGAGCAGGCGATGTCTTGCATAATCATCTATACCAGGGCTCTGCAGTAATGGATGGCAGTGCTAGCTTAAATAGAACACCATGGCGAAGCCAGAAAGCTTTAGGCAACACCACAACTGACCTAGTTGGCATTAGGCGATGCCAGCGCCTAGGAGAAAGAGAGAAGCAATGGGCGGGAGTCCTATGGTGCCTTGGCGGTTGGCGGCACCTTCTATGCAAAGCTCTACGTAAAAAGTGAAGAAGGCAAGGGCGACACCTTCTTTGTAAATAGAGGGGATCTAGGCGATGTTGGTGCGACCCGAGCAGGCGATGTCTTGCATAATCATCTATACCAGGGCTCTGCAGTAATGGATGGCAGTGCTAGCTTAAATAGAGAAAGAACCCCAAGGTAAAGGCAGTGTTGGGCAATGCCCTGGGCAGAGGCGATTCCAAGAGCAGGAACCTAATGGGCAGCGCCAGAAGCAAAGGTGGAGAGGGCCCAGGTGGGAAGTTGGGCGCAACAGGCGTGGCAGGCTGGGGCACTGGCACTGGCACTGAGGCTAGGATGTAGGCGACGCCCTTGGTAAAGGGATTAAGCGACGTCTGTGGAGTGAACTAGGCGATGCCTTGGAGCTTTGGTCTAGGCGAGGACAAAAAGGAGGCCTAGGCATATTTGGAGAAGGGAGCGCGTTGGGGTGCCGACCAGAGTATCAGAAAACCAAGAAAAATGGCAAAACTTTGAATGGCCATAACTTTGCGCTCGGTTGTCCATTTGAGATGAAGTTTTTTTTTTTGAAGTCAAGTATTTTTTCTAGATCTACGACATACAAACAACCAAAGGTAATTTGGTCACCAAATTTCTCTAAAAAAATGCTTCTTTCTCTCTCAATTTAAGTTTTAAGCACAAATTAATGAAATTGACAGTGATGGAAAGTTGTGTTCTGTCAAGCAGCTATCAGGCATTCATGGGCAACGGGTTTGTGTTCTGGGTTTTTACCAGAGAGGGAGACTATGATGGCTTTGGCTATGCTGGTTCTTGAACTTGTCTCTGATTACAGGCGCTCCCATTGATAGAGCGATGATGGAGGTGGAGGTTCACTATGCTTCTAGGGCAACGTTTTCCCCTCTTCTCAAGAGGGCAAGGTTTGATGCCCCCAGTACTTTTTGGCCAAGCTCCGATGGCCAAGTTTCTTTCCGAGAGCGAGCTCCAGTGGTGCCCCCACTCCTTCCTAGACTGGGTCTTCTGTATGTACTAGAGCTAGCCCTTGTACCGTTGTAAGAATTGAGACTCTAGTGCGGTCTTCTACGGAGACTATAGCTCCACATAGCTGCCCTACTTCTAGCAGTGTCTCGGTGTCCATACTTTGATGTGACTTCGGTCAAGGAATGGCTTTGGAGGTTTGTGACTCCCGGGAATATCAGAGAGGTTGGATCTCAAGGTCTAGAGGGCATTTATCAATACTACGATGGAAGGGTTCTCCTTTTACATGTTCTACTTTTTGGATTATTGTAGGTGACTGTTGTTTTTCCCTGCCTATTTTCAAGAATGATCAAACTTGGAGAGGCATCCAGGGATCTAGCAAAAGAGAGGTAGGCTTCGAGAGACTGCTAAGGAGCAATTGAGGCTTGCTCATGAGAGAGTCGCGCCTCCTGAGAGCGAGCTTTTTGGCATCCCATGAGAGGGCCGAGAAGTTGAAGGCTGATAAAGAGATTATCTGCGTGAGAGCAGAATCAGGGCTGCGAACATCCCATGAGAAGGTCGTAGGAGCTGAGGCCGAGCTACGTATAACTCGAGAGAGGACTGCCATGGCAGAGGCTTATAAGGAGACTACCTGCGCGAGAGAGGACTACGTATAGCTCCTAAGGCTTTCATTCCGGTCCTACTTGATGGTGAGCAAATAGGTAACAGGTTTCTGGTGTCAGCATCCCCCAATGAAGTGGGAGACGAAAGACTTTCTTAACTCTGCAAAAGAGTGGATGGAAAAAGGCTTGAGCTTGGTGAACCACTTGTCTGCAGATCCCTTGAGGGTGGTAAGGAAGGCTCTACACATAATCTCATCAAGCACGTTATGGAGTTGCATGATAGATTTGTATGTATCGAGATGGTCGAGGGGATCTTTGGTACCATCAAAGATCTCAATGGAGGGCATCATGAACTTTGAGGGTAAAGGGTAGTTGATAACATCCGTCACAAACGAGGTGTTAGTGCATCTTACCAAGTACTCCACCATCTCCGACGCTTGTGCTTTGATGGCATTGAGTGCATCGTCAAGCTAGTCCTGCACCTCCTTGATCTTCTCGCCTCATTGGTTGGGAACATGCTCTGTTGGATCATTGTGGTAGCTCTCGTGATTTGCATACTGGTTCTCCTCTTCATCCCCCTGCCCTGGATGGTCAGCTGCGTGTGGTGTAGGTACATGAGGAAAAGGAGAATGTGTGGCACCTGCGCATAGTAGAGGGACACCTAAGCGAGGGGCGCCCTGGCACTAGGCCCCTCGGACGGCGCCCTAGAGCCCAGAGTGGTGAGGTTGTGGCACTTCTCTAATCAGGGGGAGTACCGCTCCCGCAGGTTCAGGGGCAACGCCTCCCAAGGCGAGCATCAATTGAATGATTTGTTGGTTTTGGCTTGCCAACAACTGCATGGTCTTCAAGAGTTGTTGCCCGACTGCGGGGGTTGTCGTAGTAGATGGTTCCGCTGGTATAGGCGGAGGCGAAGCCTCTTCCCCGCAGGCTGGGTTGTTGTCTCTTGGTTGTTGATTAATTGATCTGGTCGTGATTGCCATAGATTTCAAGAGAGTAGCAAGGTAGTAGAAAACTTAGTTGTTTCCCACAAAAGGCGTCAAACTGGTAATGCACAAAATAGTCTTGTGCAAAATCAACAGTCAAGTGTATGATAAGGTATAATTAATGAACAATAAATAAAACAATCAATGGCAGTAATGTAAATATTAAGTCAACACACAGATATATAGTGATTCGGTTCGGGTGACTTACTCCACTCTGGAAAACGGCAATGGTGGCCAAGAGGTCTTTATTGATGAAGTAGGGTGAACGGGAGAAAGAGCAATGGTTAGCTCTGGAAGAGATACAATAACTAGGAGAGAGAGAGAGATGATATATGTGTATAGAGAAATATGGTGAGATGCCCCTCTCAATGGAGAAAGCTTACAATTTATAGGCATGGTGAGGCGGTGACGTGAGTGTGAGGGTACTAATTCTTCGGAGAGGATAGTTACAAAAGATAAGTACAATTAAAGATTGTTTTGATCTTCAAGAGTGAGTATCCCAATAGTTGCTCCTCACGTGCTCGAATCTTCTTGCACTCCTTGGACCTTGGGCTAGGTTGAATTTACAAACTAGACTTGACCGACCTTTTAGCTGATTTAGGCTTACTTGATTTATTGGGCCCGAGCCAGTTAGATTTGGGCTCGTCAATTTCGACGATGAGATCGTAGAGGATAAAGATCAGGCGAAGACAATTTAAGTAATTTGCATGAAAGAAACCTAGAATAGAATCTAGTTGAGTATATTTTGTTTATAAATTTAATGAGAAAGGTATAAAAAAAACCCTAAAGACGAAAATTGAGATAAGTTTTGTTATTAATAGGATAGGTATTGAATGGGGTGAGCTTAGTTACTTGTGAAGTGTGTATAGAAGGGGTAAATTTACTAGTTTTATTATTTATAGTTTGATGGGGGTGGGAATGGAGATTTGTGGGGAGTGAATAGCCCCTCCCGCTGGCTAATCCACTTCAAACTTTCGCACTTGTAACCAAAACTAATGGACTCATTTCCAATGAGATCTATATAAGTTCTAATACTGAAGCTCTGATATCACTTTGTAACGTCTCAATTTTTCGGATGCGTTATTTAATTAATAAATTAATCGACGCAATTCCATAAAATATCTCTAATGTGTCTCCAAATATTCGGGTCAGAGCTCTAATTACCTCAAAATTAAATAAAAATAGTATCCAAAATCTAAAAATGAATGCCCTCAAATTATATATTGCAACAATCAAACTAAAAGTTACAAATCTACAATTTTTTGATATTTCAACTCTAGTCCTTTTCTCCGATATTATCTTGAAAAATATTAAAAGCGAGAAAGTATATAATGTGACAGAAACAATACGCTCAACGATAAACAAATACGAATGATCAAATATCAAAGAACTCAATCGATAGGCAATCATAAACAAAATAATCAAGAATCAACATGTCATATAGCTTAACTGCTACCAAAGATAACTTCATATTTGGTTCATATTACTAACATGACATGACAAATGACACTTAGACATATATATCCATAATCATACCGAACAATTACATCCCGCAAGACCATAATCAAAACGAGCAATCATACCTCATAGGGCCACAATCATATTTTACAACTATGCCCCAACCACACTTCATATGTACACCAATCAACAAAACGCATAGAATTTCATATCAATCAAAAATAGCGAATAAGAATACAAACTTTGAGATAAACAATATGACGCATAGGCTAGATCAACAAAACGCATAGGATTTCATATCAATCAAAAATAACGAATAAGAATACGAACTTTGAGATAAACAATATGACACTCTTTTTGCAGAGATTTAAAGACATGATCATATTGTAATACTAAACCATACCTCAAAATCATCAATGGCTTCGATAAATATAAAATTCGAAGTACCATGAACAAGATACTCGAATTTGATAGTGATATGAAGTAAAATCACTTTTCAATTTTTGACCCCAAGATCTTATGAGTTTTTTCTTCTATTTTTTTCCTCTCTCTTCCCTCCTTTATCTTTTTCTTCCTTTTTTCCTCACATTTTACTCACAATGACCATCTCAGCTATTTGTCTTACTTGGCGTCCACGGCTATGACTTTATATGGATGATGCATGCAATGGACACTTGTCCATTATGCTTTATTTTTTTTCCGTTCCTTACCTTGCTGCCACTAATATATACATATATATTAGAAGACACTTGTCACTTCATGTATCTATATGTATTTTTACACATATTACACCGTTCGGACACTAATAATGCAAGAATTCGGTTTGATTTCTTGTATCAATAATGCAATACGAATAAATGTGAAATATGTACATAAACAAAAAATATTAAAAAGAGTTATAAATCAATAGAAAGAGAATCTGAATAATTGAGTTTAATTCATATTAATGTAGGTGACTTAAAACAAATAATGACAAAAAGTGACAAAAGATATTATGTGACTTTTCTAGATGATAAATCAAAATATATTAGAGAAACAAAGACGAAACTTATTATGACATGTTCATAAAATATAAAAATAAAGTGAAAATCAATTAAATAAGAAATTTAAAAGACTTAGGCCTGATAGAGTAGGTGAATATAACCCACTTGATGAATTCGTGAAAAGGGATGAATAATCCATGAGACAACACTGCCTTACTTACCTGAGTCAAATGGAGTGGCAGAAAAGAAAAATACAACACCGAAAGAAATGATGAATTTCATGCTAATAAGTTTAGGAGCACCTAACTACTTTTGGGGTATAGCTATATTATCTGATTGTTATA